ATTATATATATTATATGAAATATATTATAGTGGATGTTTGTCCAGATGTAAACAATATAGCAGAACATCATTTTTAAAGTAAAACTTTACCAAGGGTGTGTCAGACTGGAAGATCTGTATGCAAATTTAAACACAGAGGGGGGCATGCTGTCATATTAATATAATGGCTGGAATCCTGTTACTTTTATAAATTGGTGTATGTGCAGCAGTTAAGGAGACAACTGGAAGTTGACAAGGATTACAAGCATCCCCTTAACTTGTATAGTTTGCCATTACACTTATGCTGGGGTGTAGAAGTTAAAGGATTCTAGACAATTATTATCTACCAGCAGGTCATTTTAGAGTTATGGTGAGCCTGAAAGAGGATTCTAAGTATGAAATACTCAGAATTGGTTTATCAGTCCACCCCCTATTTCTGGTGACACTGACAAGTGAGTTTGGCACTTGTGGAGACAGATGTTGGGAGTTAAATTCTTCACTATGCCAATGGGAAAAGAGCCAGCCTGTGTGGTCCTGAGCAAGCTGCATACAATACTCCCTGGATGCCTCTGGAATAAAGGAATAGTGAATCACTTTTGGGTTCTCTGCACTTAAAAAACACCAGAAAGAGTTATCACAAGTCAAAATCGACTTGCTACACATAATCTTTATTAATAAAGGTGCAATCTTAAATCACACCACAAGCACCACCGTGCCATGGGGCAACCTATACTGTATTGACGAATAGGTCTGAGGTAGTCCAATCCTGAGCAAGCTGCATACAATACTCCCTGGATGCCTCTGGAATAAAGGAATAGTGAATCACTTTTGGGTTCTCTGCACTTAAAAAACACCAGAAAGAGTTATCACAAGTCAAAATCGACTTGCTACACATAATCTTTATTAATAAAGGTGCAATCTTAAATCACACCACAAGCACCACTGTGCCATGGGGCAACCTGTACTGTATTGACAAATAGGTCGGAGGTAGTCCAATACTGTATAACAACTCTCTCAGCTGCTTCAGAACGTCACTGGTTGGCAATGAGATATATACAGCGTTTAGTGTAGGGTGGACACCATGCAAATCTTGCAAAAATAATTATTCATAGTTCTTTATTTACATAAAATCAAAAGAACCTAAAATATTTCCTTTTCACTGACCTAATGGTGGACATATCCAATAGAAAACAACCGGGATGGTAAAAGATATATTCTTATCAGATGAAGAACAATGTGATGCCAGAGAGTAACCTCGCAGCACGGCGATGATGAGCAAACGGGAACGAAAGAACCAATTCTAATTAAACTGCCTTACCCCTAAGGCAGGGCTAGGCAGAAAAGTTAGACAGTTCAGTGACTTAGGTATTTGGCTGAGGAGCCAGGGGTTGGGGTTGGGAGTTTGATCCCCCCCACCGTACCTTGTCAACCGGGGTGGTAAAAGATATATTCTTATCAGATGAAGAACAATGTGGCCCCGGGGCACCGCAAGAAGAAGGACGCTGTATGCCACTTCTGATTAGCCAGGGGTTGGGGTTGGGAGTTTGATCCCCCCCACCGTACCTTGTACAAGAGCCAGCCTATGTAGCCTTGGGCAAGCTGCACAGTCCCGGGGCACCGCAAGAAGAAGGGCGCTGTATGCCACTTCTGTGTTTTCTACCCAGAAAGCCCTAGAAAAGATTGGCCTAAATTAGAACTAACTCGAAGGCATGCAATTGTTATTATTAGCACACACTTGTCTAGGATTAGATCCTGAAGCTGAGGCTCCAATACTTTGGCCATCTCATGAGAAGAGAAGACTCCCTGGAAAAACCCCTGGTGTTAGGAAAGTGCGAAGGCAAGAGGAGAAGGAGACGACAGAGGATGAGATGGCTGGACGG